CATGAAAGATGAAGATGAAGAAGTTTGTAGCAGCTGTAAACTTCAGTTTATATTTCAAGGAAAGCGAGTTAACAGACTGGTGCTGTGTGGCAGAGTGCATGATAATATTCTTTGGCAATCACAGGGCGCTAACTTCATTCGATTATTCAAAATACAAAGAAATGAACATACTTTCAAATTGATCTTTCCATAAAAGACGATCGACTGCACACTAAATCTTCGGAATATCTGCAGAAGAAGCTTTCGACCCATGATGCCGTCCGGAGTATCTTGTCGTATCCACGGGTAGCCATTCAGTTGAATTTCAAAATTGTAGCTGACTTTGTACTCTGCCTTCATACCCTTTGGATATCCTGACTCGACTTCTTCTCTCAAAATCTGCTGCATCGCTTCGTTGCCGTTCACCAGTTGTAATGAATCGCAGCTACTGATGCTCAGGCACATAACGTGAGGCGTAATGAGGTTATGGTCGGTTTCGCTTCGTTGGAAGAACCACGTTGACAGACTTCGGTGGAGCGACAGGTGAGTAGACAGAGTAAGACGCCAGCCTGCAGCAAAGAGGTCACTGAGAATGCGGCAACAGGCCTGTTTCACTTGGATGGCACATTCGCGGTCCCCATGGGAGAATGGGAATCCCCTCAACTTGATGAGGAAATATCGATTGGAATTCCAGCCACACTTTTGGATGCCCATCTTCCAAAACAGAACGAATGCATGGCTGATGATGTCCACACAGCTCTGCTCCGCCCATACGATGCGTAGCGTGTCAGGTTGCTGAAAGTCGACTACGAAATATGAGAAATTTTCAGGGCGGTCCGGCAGGCGGCTGTTCTGAACACCCATTGTCTACAATTCCAAGATAGTTAAATGAAATCACTGCTTCATCAACGTTTAATTTGCGCTCGAAAAAAGTCGCCTACTCCGCCGTCACCAATCGACCAGCGACTATTGCCAAATAATACAGTTTGTAAACCTGATGTTCAAGATCATCGCATCCGCTAAAGCGATTGGGGCGAACGACCTTATTTAGTCCAAGATTTAGCTCTATGTTTGAAAATTTGCCACATAACCACTTTGAATACGAAATAATCCGCAAATTTGTTTAGTACCTAATTTTTTATAATGATGAAAACAACATAGGAAGAATGCTGTGAAGTAGGAAACATGTACGCTGTATTTCATGCCAATAAAATCACAGGTAAATGAACTGATATGGTCAATCTAGCTGCCACTCTTTAACAGTTTATTTGATAAATAAATCCTTTCAACCCCAGCACCGCCACTGCCGTTCCCAAGCCCAGAAGAGAAACGAATAAGGTTGGGGGGACCGTGGCGAGGTCTGCCATAAAACGTAGCCACCTGCCCCTCATGGTGTTCTAGTTATAGAACGCCATTCACGCTAAGTTGTCGCTCGGAATAACAAGGGCCGTGCAGGCTTTTGAGGGACTGAGGCAGTCTGCGAAATTAGTCGTTCTGAGAATGCTCCCAGCTTTCTGGCAACCAAAGGCGTGGCAGCACAATAACGGCTGCAGAAGACCTGACAAAAGGACGACGACGATTGCAGTCAGCAACGGAGCGGTCACTCCTTCTGAACGGAGAAGCTAAACAACGTAATGCCGTTATAGCACGCCAGATATGGTTTCATTAGAATACATAGACAGTGGGAGCTCACAGTTCAAAATTGGAACATTGCATGACTCAGGTTGAAATAGGCAGCTAATGGAAGAGGACTTAAGGTACAGATTGGGCATAGTTTGACGCTGGTCAGCGAAGCGCCAGAGTTCTGGAGGTTTTAATCACTACTGTTGTAGCTGTTCTACTCAGATGTCGACATCGTGATACGTGTTCAGGCCGGTGTCAGTGCACTGGTAGAACTGAACCTGGCTGACACAATCACTGAATGGAAGCCACTCAATGGAAGAGCGGCAATGATCCGGCTAAAGTTATAACAAACTAAACCTTTAACCTTGCTACAGCTCTCTGCATCCAATTTTGAGGGAGAATATGAGCTTTTTTCTTGAGGTAATGAAAGGTGCTTTGTATGAAGTGGCAGCTATTAAAACCATCATTCAGGGAGGCAATTTTAATGCGCATGTCGGAGCAGATACTGAAAGTGGAAAATCGAGGGACCATATGAACCTCTCGGTGTAACTGTCTTGAGTTCACCGCCTTATTGACTGAATAATCCCATACAGAATACTTCGATCTGATATGAATAGCAAGCTTTTTAATCTTTCTACCTTACAGCAACATCGTTCATCCTCGCTTGCAACTCGGTAGCTCCGCACAAAGAGGTTTCACATTCAGTGGCACACAATCGTAGTGCACATATTTAATGAAATCTTCAAACAATTCCCATACCCTCAGTATATCGTAGGAACTTTTGCAGTTACTACATATTATCAGCATTCTGTGCTGTCAGCAATCGTTCAAACAGTAAGTTTCGATGATTATTTATCTATTAGATGGCGGAGGTAGACATATCACACGTTGTCTCCAAAGTTCACCATCCTGTGGCAGCGTTTGAGCTTAGGCAGAAGATAACCCGAGTCTGGAGCAGAATCCTTCTAAACACTTGCCCAGGTCTTGCCCGTCCCTGCAGTCTTTGGCTGGTCTGTTCAGCGAGTAGTACCTGTTAAGACTTACTAATTGGAAGCATACGAAGGACGTATCTGAACTATCGCTGCCATGACTTCTCATTCTGCGGAAGCATATACTGATCATGAGTTTGATCTTGTTTGTTGCAGAAGGATTTGCATTGTTGCACCCGGTTAATCCTTGCACGAATCACTTGGCAGACATTCTTTAAAGCATGGGTAAAGAAACCACAGTTTCAAGGAAGTATTTTGAATGACTTGCTTCTGTTCACTTCTCCAACCTTTTGGGCGTTAGCACTTTTTCATCGGGGATGTTGTGGCACAGTGGCAAAGAAGTCCTCTTCTGACTCCGGAGGTGCCGTGTTCAAACAGAAAGTAGGAAAATCGTTGTCTTAACTTAGAATTTTCTTGAACAGGGAATCTATCTCACGCTGCTTAGATGCAGCCAACCGATCAACTGGCAGCAAGTGGTGACTTA